GAGGGGCTTGGAAAGGAGGACTCACCCCCACCAATCCATGCCACCAGAAGGGCTTGGAAAAGAGGACTCACCCCCACCAATCCATGCCACCAGAGAGGCTTGAAAGGGAGGACTCACTCTCCCCTTCCGTGCCACCAGAGGGGCTTGGGAGGACTCACCCCCCCTTCCGTGCCACCACACACCTACTTCAAAGAGCAGCAGGCAGTATTTGCTCCTCTGACACTCTGACCCCTCAAAGTGCTAACAGACCTAACAGCTTGAGTCTGTGGGTCCCAAAGAGGGGTGCCCAGCCCCCAGAGGGCACAAGATGATCCACTGGGGAGAAAGAAGAGAGTATTTCAACTTCTATTTGTATTTCTTTTTTTCTAAAATATTAATATTTTTTACTAATATTACTAATTTTTACTAATATTTGAAATACAGGTGGACAGTAAAAACCACCAGCTGCCCTTGAGTCAGTTTTGACTCAGAGCCCTCATGAGTGTCACAGGAGAACTGCACTCCATGCGCTTTTCAATGGCTGTGATCTTTTGGAAGTAGACTGCCAGGCCTTTCTTCCAAGGTACCTCTGGGTGGGTTCAAATCACCAGCCTTTTGGTTAGTAGCCAAGCACTTAACCGTTTGCACCACCCAAGAAAGTCTAAAGACCCCTAGTCTGTCCCTTTGTATCAGCCCCAAATGCTTGTATGTGTGTGTGTGTGCGCGCGCGTATGCGAGAGAGACAGACAGAGACAGATTGAGAGGAAACAACTGTGGCAATAACAAACTGTAACTTTGGTGTTTTTATATTTCTAAAAATATAAGATTTCTGAGAAATAGAAATTTTAAATAAATCTATTGCCAGGTCAAAAACATTCATAACTTGTTCCTAAGACAAACAACACATATATATGTATGTGGACAGTGTGACGCACATCCATACATGACTGCATACACACAACATACACACACCTCAGTGTGCTAGCTGCTTTTGGTCTCAGTATCATGGTCCAGCCCTCTGTTCCCTGAATTGTGAGGCTGGTGACAGCTTGTTTTCCTCACTGCTTCCTACAACAAACTAGAAATATCAGGTATTTTGCTTCATCATCTCTTCCTCACTTGGCCCTGGCTCTTTTTTTCCTTCCTTATTTTCTGTTCCCCCGGTTCAAAATAAGAGGGAGAGACCTTTGCGCAGTCACTAAAACCATGTTTCTAAAGAATATTTTAATGACATGGAAAAATATGCATAGCTCAAAGTTAAATGAAAAAGCAGAGTATACACACACACACAATCACACACTTACTATTCAGTAGACACTGAACTATACTCTTTCCATATTATTTCATTTAATCCTCACTTCATGTGGTACTTAGTATTATTCTCACATTTTACAGATGACACTGAAGCACTAAAACGTGAAGTAACTTGCCCAAGAAAGTTCCAGACCCACGCTCTCACCCCATGCACTGCTCTTTCTCCAAAGCTGAGCTGCCTGAAGCAAGTCTAGGATCCCTCAGAGAGATCTTCAGGGGAGAACTTCCTAGCTTCTGCTGCCAATGGCCCCTTGCCTTTAGCTCACTTTGAATCATGAGGCACAAAGAGTAGTGGAAAGGCCCCCAGTACATGAGTCAAATGCCTGGCAAGCTGTGTGATCTGTAGCAAATCAATTGTCTTCTCTGGCCCTCAGTTTCCCCTCAGAAAATGAGTACCCTGAACCAAAACCCAAACAAAAACCAAAAAAAAAAAAAAAACAGTTGCATCAAGTCAATTCCCTCTCACAGGGACCCAATGTGCGTCAGTGTAGAACTGTGCTCCGTGGGCTTTTCAATGGGTGACTTTTTGGAAGTAGATCACCAGGCGTTTCTCCAAGGTACCTCTGGGTGGATTTGAACCGCCAACCTTTCAATTAGCAGCCAAGTGCTTAACCGTTTGTGCCACCCAGGGATTCCACCCTGAGGCAGAGCCCTCCAAAACTGAATGCACACTGGTATGTAAGTATAAGCGTGCCATTTTCTTGGTTTTCCTTCAGTTCTCAAAGGGTCTGTAGCCCCAAAAAAGGGTTAAGATCTGGGAGCCCTAAAGAGGTCTAGGATCCCCTCCGAGAGCTGGCCCTCAGGTTGGGCTGGCCATGCCTCTACCCACCCATCTTCATGAGCATCCAGTTGCTGTCCATCTGCTTGGCAGCCTGGAGAAAGTAGCGCCCATCGGTCCACATGGCCGCATGCTCTTCCGTGACGATGGCCGTGCCTGGAGCAGGGAGCAAGGAAAAGAGAAAGGCTCTTCACAACCACCCAGAAACCGCAGAGAGTGGCAGCAGGCAGGTGAGAGCAGTGAGAGGCACGGGCTCCCCTGTGGCCCAGCCACCCACCACCCCTCTGACTGTAGGGCAGATGGGTCCTCGACCCCAGGGAAACCTCCAGGCAGCAAGAGAAGAACCAGTTGTAGGCCACACTCTGAAGGAAACAGTCCTGGAACCCGTACTGCCTGGGCACTTGTCCCTGCACAGAAAGGACCCAGTGTCCACAGCACGTGTCAAGACCAATAGAGCAGAGGACTGCGGAGCTACGGCCAAAACAGTCTCATGATCCACAGGGCTGAGCTGGAACAGTTTCTGCTCAGCAATCACAGTCACTCTGCTGCTGTTTTACCTTTCCCAAAGAGAGACCAACTGGCTCCTGTGAGTGTTCACAGGGACTCAGTGGTCACCAGCAGGGCGTTTCTTCCTCCCGCCTCTACCTGCCCTCAGTTCCCACAGGCCCGGCAGAATTTGGGGCTTTCGGCAGAGGCATCAGCCAAAACCAATCAAAACGTGCCAACCAACACAAGCACTTACACCAAAGGAAGCAGTGTGCTAACTGCTGGGGGACAGAGGCCTCGCCAAGTCTCACTAGTTTAAGGGAGGGAAGTCTGAAGAGGGGAAACCCACCCTCAATCTAAAGGGGACACAGTTTCAGAAAAGTCAGGGCAAGGCATCGATGTGGTTAAACTTTGTTATTTATGCCTAAAGTGGAAACAGAAACCAAAAGTCAAGTGCTTGGAGAATTACTACACAAGACTGAGTTAAAAGCTAAGGAAAGGGTTCTAGGGTGCTATTAATGTCCAATTTCTTATGTGGGGTGCTAGTTACACAGGTATAGTCAGTTTAATTGGTACATTTTTCTGTATATATGTTATAGTCAATAAAAAGTTCAAAATTTTTTTAATAAAGATTCTTCCAAATGTAAACGCAAAGGCAGAGAGGAGAAAGGGGTCACTAAAAGGTGATCTCAGGGAGCCGGGCATTCTGGGAACTCACACCACTTCCGCAGAGGCTCAGTGGGGAATGTCTGCTTTGCATTTTCTTTTTGGTTCTGTATCACAGGCTGAAACTTGGCTCAGTTATTTTTGGGAGGAGAACAAAGATACAGCAAGAACAGAGGGAGAATTTGGCGACTCACCCGCAGAGCCATCGAATCCAGAGACGAAGGCCCGCCGGCAGTCACACGGGGCAATGTACTCACTCTGGAAAACAAAGACGACAAGGAAATGGAGCTCAATCAGCCACTTGCTGACTGTCTTCCACATGCTCAGCCTTGTGCCAGGCCCAGCAGGGACTGAAGAGGTCAGGGAACCCATCACCCGCCCTCAAGGAGCCAACAGTCTAGCTGAATAGACAACTTGAACTTTTTTTTTTTTTAGTTAGTGCATATTGCAGGAGACCCTAGTTAATTAAGAGCCAACAGAGCTGTTCCCTTTATTTAGCTTCTATTTCCAAGTTTGGACATCAAAGCAAGTCAAGAGAAACAGGTAAAAAAAATTCTTTCCTCACTGAGATCTTACTCAAAAAACAAACCAATAGCCTTCTCTCCTCCTTGCCACTGACATTTAAGCATCTGTTATTCTTCTGAAAAATAGGGCTGAATTTCTGTTTTAAGTGCCAGTAATTCTCTAACTTGAGTCTCTTTAGACATCAGCTTGTTTCTGAACTTCCTGTTTGTGTCCCCCTCCAAGGTAGCATCACCGATCTCTCCCACGCAGACCCTGTCCTTTCCTGTTAGGGAATGAGTGGAAATACTTCCTCCAACCCAGGACGCTCAGTGAAATAAAACAAATGTCCAAAGTCACAACAGGTTCTTCCCTGCCGATAATCCCCCTTGCCTCTGAATGGAAGGTCAGAGCCTGAAGAAAGAGATTCCCATTTGTGGGCAGAGGGTATGAGCCTGAGGTGTGCACCCTCTAGTAAAAGCCAGTGCAGCCCAGGGAGTTTAAGCAACTTGCCCAAAGTCACACAGCTAGTAAGTAGCAGAGGCAGGACTGGAACCCAGGCAGTTGGCTCCAGAGCCTCAACTCTGAAGCCCTATGCCATGCTGCCCCCATATGACACATTATCTCTCATCCTCATAACAACTCTCCAGGATAAGACCAATAGTAAAACAGAAAATTAAGGCCCATAGAGAATCTTTAAGCAACTTGCCCAATGGCAGGTTAAAAGCAGGGTTGAGGAATCCCTGGGTGGCACAAATGGTTAAGCACTCAACTACTAGTCAAAAGGTTGGTGGTTCTAAACCACCCAGAGGCACCTCAGAAGACAGGGCTGGCAGTCTGCTTCCAAAGGTCACAGTCTTGAAAACCCTATGGAGTAGTTCTACTCCGCACATTAACAACAATTTGACAGTAACTAATAACAACCACAAGATCCGAAGCAGGTCTGCTTCAGTCTAGAGTCGCTGCTCCGACCACTATTAGTAGGTTTCTTCCAGGTCCCTGACAGGGTTAATCAATGCTTAAGATGGGAAGTGGGGCTGCTGGCCAGACCCCAAGACATTTTTAGAACAGTCAACGTGATGTAGCAAAACAAAAGGCGCTGGGCTAGGGATTGGGGAGCCTGGATTCTAGCCCTACCTGCGTCTGCCTCTGTCTCACCGGTTCTGCCTGAACAAGAGACTGCCCTCTCTGAAGCCCAATTTGCTCAACATTTCAATGAGAAATCCAGGCTGGAAGATCGGAGGCCCTTCCTGCCGTCAACTTTGAGTAGACAATGCTGTGGCAACTCCCTCTATACCACCAGAGCCCTGTGGCCACATATAAAAAAAAGTAATAAGTTTTAGAGAATCTGTGGATTTAGAAGGTTAGAAGGTGAAGAAGGAAGAAACATTGGTAAGCAGGACTAGCTTAAGGCATTTTCACTGCCCAACTGTCCAGTGACCTCACTGACCAGAATTATACCTCTCTCTGTCACCCGGTCATAATCTTTCCTTCTCACTCCGTTTTTATCTGAAATCACCAAATTAAGGGGGAAAAAAAAAGCAAAAAAGGCAGAGGGAGGCCCACCTCTCTTCTAGGACTGTTGTGAGGAACAAGTGAGTTGATGTTTTAAAAACCCACCAGAAACCCGAGAGTGCCACACATACACAATGGAAGAAATATTATTAATTTCTTCTTTTTGGATAACAAAAAGGCATCTAAGGGGCTGGGAAAACTATGCTAACAAAATACCTCTTGTGCTAAAGATCACTGTACACTATGGGGAATACACAGAGAGGACCACTCTCAACCAACAAAGTGGCTCCACTGTCTCAGGACTTCCCTACCTGTGACTACAGAGGGAGGGATGTGGCCCGAGAAGCCAGTGTTGGTCTTGGCCTGGGTGGACTCTTCCACCAGGGATGCAGCTCTCTAGGAAGGTCCCATCTCTATCTGGGCAAGCCTGAGAGGAGGGACTGGGGACCCACAAGGATATACCTTGAGATACCCATCAGCAAAAGCAGGAAAAGGTTTCTCCAAAAGGATGTAGACTTAACAAGAGCTGACATGTTTAGTTTGGGACCGAGACAAGATCTGGGGCAAAAACATCCAGACATGACCTAAGTGCTCAGCACACCAGAAAGACGTCGCTGACCGAGGCCGGCCGCAGCGTCCCCTCCACACCAACAAGGCTAAGCAGAAGCCAGACAACCACAGAGTCCAGGCCTCTCACTCTTTTCCCCTAGCCATGAAGCTGGCAAAGCCCAGGAACATTCTCCTCAGAGAACAGCAAAAGGCTGAAAGGAAGCCAAAACCGTGGCACTGTAGAAAAAAGGCAAAAAGAAAGAACAGCTGTCGGCTCTTTCTCCAAAACCATCCATTTCTCTCCATCTCTAACAGGAGTACTCAATCCAATACTCCATCATCTCTTACCTTGACTGCTGTCCATATAAATGTCTATATATTAGATCATGCTGGCACCCTTCTTAAAACTCTCCAACAGCTTCCCATCATATTTAGAATAAAATCCAAACCCCTAACCCAGTCCCATGAGGCACCACATGATCTGATACAGCTGTCCTCTTGGAATTCTCAACCAACTCTCCCTCCCACTCACCATGGTCCAGCCGCACTGGTTCCTTTCTGCTCTTTCCATGTCCCGAGCTCATTCCTGCTTCAGGCCTTTGCACATGCTCTGCCTTGGGCTTTGTGAGGGTTAATGTTATGTGTCAATTTGGCTAGGCTACAATTCTCAGTGGTTTGGCAGACACTGGACTGTGTGCTCTTCCATAATGTAATATAATGTAATCACTTTCTACAATGTGATCAGCCAATCAGCTGAAAGGGGAGTTTCTTTGGGAGTGTGGCCCGCCTCCAGAATACAAATGGATGTTCTGGCATAGTTCGCTCTCCCTCGACCCTGCACACTATTCATTGGCAGACCTCCAGTTCCTGGGACAGAAGCCTTCAGAGGTCTCTAGCTTTTAGCCCAACCTATGGATTTGGGATTTGCTAGGCCCTACAATTGCATGAGCCATTTTCTTGAAGTAAATCAATCTTTCTCTCCCTCTCTCTTTTTTTCTCTCTCTCTCCATACACACACACACACACACACACACACATACATATATCTCACTGGTTTTGCTCCTCTAGAGAACCCTGACTAAGATAGGCTTATAAACCCACTCCCTGATTGTGACAGAACTAGCTCCTACTCATCATTAGATTTCAGTCTGAATGTCACATCCACAGAGAAGCATGCCCTGACTACCCAGCTAAAGTAGCCACTCAGCGACTTTTAACTGTCTGTATAGCCCATTTTTCTAAATGTTTCTCATGTTAGTAAACGTTTTTACATTTTTATTGTATTGTCTCCCTCCTCTAGAATGTAAGTTCCATGAGATCAGGATGTTTGTCTGTCTTGTCTGTTCCTGTACATATCACAGCTGACACACGGTAGGTCCTCAACCAATATTTACTGAATAAAAGAACAAACAGAAAGAGAGATGAACCTTTTTCCCTCTACCTAGTTAAAACCTTAGACATCTCTTTGAAGATCAAGGAAGGGGTCATGAGCTAAGGAATGCGGGTAGCCTCTAGAAACTGAAAGAGGTAAGGAAATAGATTCTCTCCTGGAACTTCCAGAGGAAATGTAGCCCTGCTGACCTAGTTTAGACTTCTGACCTCCAGAACTGCAAGATAATAAATGTGTGTTGTTTTAAGCCACTAAGTTTGTGATAATCTGTTACAGCAGCACTAGGAAACTAATACCAGGAAAAAGACCAGAAGGGATTACAACTGGGGTTTCAAACTCAAATACCCTCGGGTATAGGCAAGTTAACTAAATGAGTAAAGCAGAGCAAGGGGGTGCCTTCTCTAAAGGGAGAAGCTCCTGCTCAGCTCTAATTCCTCTCATGCTGGAATGCAGGCAACAGGTTACCAATCTTTAACACTTCAGGGGAAGCTAGAAATGTGTGTGTTTGTGAGAAATCACCCAATTTTTAAATGTTGGCATCTAATTCAAGCTATAAATATTATACAGCCAATAAAGCACATTTGCAAATAGGGTGTGTCTTAAATCAATCTCTTTTGAGATATAAAAGAGATTAAACAAGCAAGCAAAAGAAGCAGAGATGGGGGAAGAGAGATGCCAAGCCACATGAAGATCACCCAGAATCAGAAGTTCAAAAGAGACAAGGACATTCCTCCAGAGCCAATAGAGAGCAAAAGCCTTCCCCTAGAGCTGGTACCCTGAATTCAGACTTCTAGCCTCCTAAACTGTGAGAGGAGCCCTGGTGGTGCAGTAGTTAAGCGTTCAGCTGCTAACCAAAAGGTCGGCAGTTCAAATCCACCAGCTGTTCCTTGGAAACCCTGTGGGGCGGTTCTATTCTGTCCTATAGGGTGGCTACAAGTCAAAATCAACTCCACGGCAAGTTCCACTTCTACTACTAAACTGTGAGAAAATAAATTTATGTTTGTTAAAGCCACCCGTTTGTGGTATTTCTGTTATAGCAGCACTAGATAACTAAGACAGCATCTCTTAAAATCCAGCTCAACAAACTTCTTCCACAAAGCTTTCTGATCCACTCCGGCTTTCAGAGGTCTCCCTTGTCTCTGAATCTTACAGGACACTGTCATTTATCCAGCAGTCCCTGGGTGGTACAAACAGTTAAGCACCCAACTACTAACCAAAAGGTCAGCAAGAGGTACCTCGGAAGAAAGGCCTGGCGATCTTCTTCAAAAGGTCACAGTCTTGAAAACCCTATGGAACACACAGC